TTTCCTTTTTAGCTTATTTTGTGTGGCATTACCCATGGCGCACCCAGGCCCAGTGATCTGTCTTACAGAGAAGCACGATCCGCAGCCTCAGAGGGCACTCTGGGTGGGGCCTGGCCCAGGGTGTCTGGACCACCGTAAGGGCCTTGGGAACTTGCCTGCAGTCTGTGGTGCCAGGCTGCTCCAGCATAGCAGCCGCCGGGCCCGCTCAGTGCCCCCACAGTCTAAGCATAGATTGCAAAGCACAGGCCCTGAGCCTTGCCAGATTTTCAGCGGGTAAATTGTAGTGCAAGTCAGCGTTATTATAGGTGACAGGTTTGTCCTGACGCCTGGCACCACCCAGACTCATTGGAAATGTTTTTTTTGTTTTTTTTTTTTTAATTTACAGAAAGTAAGAAACCACCTCAACAAAGCTCTGGAGTTCTCTGGGGTGTGTGAAGGAAAGGACTTAAGGCCTTTGTCTGTTTGCGTGGCCCCAGCGCACTTCTAAGGAGGGACTGGCATCCACAGGGCACGTGAGCAGGAAGTCTTCCTGCACCTTGGTGTGGTCTAGCCACTTGTCAGCGGCCACTGAATGACTGCTGGAAGGGACAGAAGTCACCCAGCATGGGGCGGTCAGTTAGGGGTTGGTTTTAGAAACTTGCCCTTGGGTTTCCTTTCATACAGTTTTGTAGCTCTTTTTGCTTTCATTTTTATAAACTCCCAGTGGTCACCGGTACAGCTTCATGTCTGTATTGCCCCCGTCAACCTAGTTGTCATCTGCTTGTTTTCCAAGTGTCTGGGGGCTAATAAAATGCCAGTACTAATGGGCCACAGATTTGCTTGACTTTGGAACTTTCTGGTTTGTGAAATTTTATGTATATATCAATCTTTATGCCAACACTTAGATGTATGCCAGTGTATTTGAGTATATCCCAAAACCTGAGGGCTGCATAGAGTGGTGGCAGGAGCACCGAGAGGAGCTTGGGAGAGCCCCAAGGCAGGCCGGTCAGTCCTCTCATCTGTCAGATACAAACTTCAGTCCTGTATCCTCTGAAGCCTCTTATATTACTAATAGTAGATGATTTTTAGTTCCTGACTTTTGAAAATGCAGGTAAGATCCTATTGGGAAACTCATATCAATCTACTTATATTAAAAAAGTGAATTCCCAATATAAATGAAGGGTAAAATATTTTAATTTACAAAAAAGGTCTTTGATTCTAGCTACTGGGCCTGATTTCTTCAGCACTCTGGAGAAGGAATTCCTTTCTATCTGTGGCCTTTGTTCAGGATCCGGAGGCTGGAGCAGATCCTCAGTCTTCCAGAGCCTGGCTGAGCAAAGCTTCCCTGCTCAGATTACAGGTCTATTTCCAGAGCCAGAAGAGTGGCCCAGTTCTAGCACGTTGCTTCATCCTTCCCCTTCTGCTCCTCCTCTGGCGCCCTGGTGACATCATTCTGGAATAGGCTTACTTATTATGTGTTGGTGGCTCTGCAGGTGTCAAATAATTATGGCAGGAGACTTTCTTTGCTATAAGCTGAATTAGGGAGTGGCTGATTCTTTAAGACAAAATAGATACCAACCAAGAGCTCTGACTAAAGCCAATTCAGATGGAAGAGTATTCACACGAGACCCTTCAGGGCAGTGATAGCAGTGGTCAGGGTGGCTTGGCCCTGGATAGGGTCCCTCGGCCTGCCCGAAGCTCTGGGAAAGGCTTCCCACACGCTTGTTAAAGTCCTTCACTTGTGACCTTCGTCGATTGCACACTGCTGAGGTCCTGGTTTCTGTGGCCACCCCCCATTGAGATCTGTCTACACCCCAAGGATAGGTGCTCCCCACTTTACATGTGGGGCAGTGGAGGCACAGAGAAGCCAGGTCACAGATGTGTGGGCTCAGCTGAGATCCGGCCTCACCAGGAGCCTGCGCTCAGGCACCGTACCCCGACACCTGGGGACGCAGCTCCGGAAGCGGGACCCACCTTACCTTTAGTGCAGCCTGGACCTGGGGCCAGGAAGTCTTCTGCCTCCCTCTGTCTCTGGGGAGTTGAGTTTATTTCTTGTCATTCTCCCCGTGCAATCTGAAGACCACAGGACATTTCAGTCACTAGTAACTGGCGCAGAGCCAGAAGTGCAGAGCAGCGTCCCTCCTTCCCACAGGCAGGATGTACTCCATCTGTTTCAGTCAGATCACTTGAAAAACGAAGCTTTAAGATATAAAATGCAGCAGCAGTACTAGTATCAGTGTAGACCAGACCCCCAAAGGATAAAAAGGCCACAGAGATTTAGTTTCTGCGAGTGGTCACTCTTGGATACATGTGAGTGGTTAATATTGGAATCATGAGCTGTTTAATAGTAGGGATGAACATGATTATCAAGACTGTAGAATGAGTACCACCAATTTATAAACTCGCAACTGAAGCCTGAAGAGAGACGGGCAGGTCCAGAGCCCTGTGTGCTGTGATGCCCTCAACCTGTAGTTCCCCTCGTCACTGTCACAAGCACATTCACGAATCCTGCTTGGATTTGAGGTTTCCTGCTGTGCCTGTCTTTGCTCTGTCTCTCACGGGGTGGGGGGCGTTGTGAGAGGGTTCAGCAGCAACCGGCTTCAGTGCCTGTTACAGTCCTCTGCTCACCTTGCTGGGGTCAGAGCATGGAGCAGCCCTGGAGAAAGGATAAATAGAGTCAGCACTGGAGAAGCTCGTTCCTCTCTCTCTCTTTCTCTCTCTCTCTCATCTCTCTCTCTGTCTCTCTCTGTCTCTCTCTCTGTCTCTCTCTCTCTGTGTCTGTCTCTGTCTCTGTCTCTGTCTCTTCCCCCTCACCCCCCAGGTTTGCAGTCAGTTTCTTTCCACTGAGAAAGGGAGAGAATGCTTATGCCACGAAAGTGCCAGCAGTGTGGCGTGAATCTGTAATTAGACTTTGACCTTTGCTTCTAAACCTGTGTGTAGAAGTACTTGGCCGGAGCCAACGAGGTCCCACTGAGGCGGAGTCAGTGCCAGGTGGGGGATGTCTGTGGACCTCCTTCGGGGCCCTCAGAAGGCTTTCCCCTCTGGGGCTTTGTGTTGCTAACTCTGTGACGTCTGCCTCTCACCTGAGTGTTGTCAGCCTTCAGGCAGCCTCCTGAATCAAAGCTCTTCTCGTCAGCCTGGGCTGGGCCTCAGAATGTCCCCCAGAGCTCTTCAGGCACCTCAGCCACTTTTTTAAAAATTTTATTTATTTTTTTTAATTCTTCATTTTTTCCCATAATTTTATTGAGAAACAAATAGCAATGAGACAGTTTCAAATCAAATTGGTAGGATAGTTTCAATAATTAACACATTGCATACATTCTTCCTAGTGGTTATTTGCTGTACAAGATGTGGACATGATATCCTATTTACAAACACTATTAGAATAAATCCCTCTATTCCTTAAGAGAATGTAACTATATATCTATCCTAACCACTTTGAATACACAGATACAAAATGGACATTCATCTGTATGCCCTTTTTTTGTTCAGTTCCGTTATTTGAATATTATAGGTGTGAGGTACAGGATCTCAGGATAAATCCTGAAGGGATTTCAATGACCTTATCAGACCCAAAAGCTACAACTCTTGTTGCACAGGTCCTGCTTTACCTTGGTCTTAACCATCCAGCAGAAAAATATAAAAATGAAGTATAAGAAGTAAAGCCATGCTGTTATGTTGAGCTGTAGGGGACTCAGGTCAACAATTTCTGACATTGCCAGTCAAGCGGAAGACCCATTACTACTATGGGCTACTGGACTCTCTTAGAATATTTTGCTGAGTTTACCTCAGCCACTTTTTGCAAATGAAGCTTGAGGCATCCTTGCTGAGAGAAGCCATGTCCCACAGAGAAAGACTTTCCTGTGGGATCTATAAGAATCGTCTACAATTCAAAACTCTGTGAGGAAAAAAAATACTGTAGTACATGCACTAGGGCCGTTCTTCACATCTGGGTTTCCAGCAGTCTGCTTCTCACCCCCGAGCAGAATCAGTCGTTCCTTACTCTGTAACCTGTGCCGCAGATCCCTGAGGTACCTCCTGCCCCAGTCAGAGGGAACCTGTTGGAGGGCTCTCACTCTGCCTCTCCTCCAGGCGGGTGTACTGTTAAGCTCCTCCCTGTGCTGCCACACTCCCCATGCTTCCCTCACTGCCTGGGTTCGGGCGTGTGTTTATGATGTCGCTAGAGCCAAGTCAGGAGAAGAAGAGGAGAAGAGGCCCGTGTGCTAGATCGTGGCCGGAAGGAGGCTGTCCTGGATCTGCGGATAGCTGTGGCTGCGTTTCCACATTTCTGCCACTTCTGCTCAGGATCCTGTCATGGAAAAGGAAGACTCCTGGGGCCGAGAGACTTCAGCGACGCGGGGACCACAGGCAGCGCTCCTCTTGTTTACTACTTGGCAAAACCCCTGCCCTTCTCCTCTTCTTGAAGCTCTTTTGCCTGACCCTGGGTATCAGCTGGCTTGGAAAGAATCTCCATTCTGGCTTTACCACCTCAGCAGACCGTAGGCATCAGATCCACCAGCTGGGAATAAGCAGAGCATCTACCTTTTTTTTTTTTTTTTTTTTTTTTAAGAAGACTGTGCATGGTTCCTAATAGCTCTTCTCCTGAAGTATTTCAAAAGTTATTTCTTTATAAAGTATTAGGTTTCATCGCGGATGCCCTACGTTGCTCCCCTTTGGGCTGACAGAGAGGCACTTGTAACTGAGATGTTTAGACAACTTTTGGGTGCCAGTTGGAGGTCTGGAGAATCAGCCGATGTCAGGCCCCGCGATAGGATCCAGTCTGGCGTGCAGGCCCCTTTGCTTGGGAAGCATCTGGGGCAGCAGGACTGCCTCCTGGAGGTGGGCTCTAGACTTTCCTGGCCTGCTGGGAGAAGCAGAGGCGGTGGGCACTGCCACCTCAGCTGCGCCTGTGGCTGGGCTCTCCTTGCCGGACTGCTCCGTTCCCACAGGTCTGTGTCTGGCCCACTCCCAGGGCTGCAATGCTGTCATGTGCTGAGTGAAGCCCTTTCTCCTCCCCACAGCTAGCATGCCCACCAGTGAGACTGAATCTGTGAACACGGAGAACGTGAGTGGCGAAGGCGAGACCAAGGGCTGCTGCAGAAGTCTCTGGTGAGTGTGGAGGCACTTGCTCCTCTAGTCCTCCCTTCATCTCTGGAACTCAAGGTGAGAAGACCCCAGGTGGCAGCGGGGCCCCCGGGGGCCACAGGCCTAGACACAGACAGCGGGTGGGCCCCCTCCCGACTTCCCATCCTCTGACTCCCATCGTCCTGGGCCAGGCGCCATGCTGTTATGTGTGCCTGTTCTTGCAAGGTGGGCCCTGCAGAGGTGCAGCTGGGAAGTGTGCTAGTTAACCCAGCAACCCGCTGTGTCCATTAGGTGCTGGTGGAAGAGAAGAGGCGCGGCCAAGACGGGGCCCTCGGGGTGTCGGCGGTGGGGGTAAAAGCTGAATTCTCCTTCCAGTCGGGTTTGGCCTCCATGCCTTGGAGAAAGAGCTTGAATGGCAGGGCTGCTGACCAGAATGTGCCACACTCAGGGCTTCCTTGGCCCTGAGTTAAGGAAGCCCGTCACTCCTCTGCTCACGGCGCCTCTCTTTAGGGGCCCTGCACCACCCTTCTAACCTGGATGATGCTGTCCGCTAACCCCCATTGGCTCTTTTCTAGATGATTCTGGCTGCAACAATGGGAGGACAAGAAGGACAGGATGTGGCTTTGGGGAGCCCTGCGCTGTTCTGTTTGCTTCCTGCTCGTTTTCTTTAGGCCTTATGCCTGTACAGTACAGGTGTAGATTTTCAGAGTACTTTGTCTTATTCTTGGCAGAGTTTCATAAAAGTGATGTGTAATAGCAAGAGTGTGCAAAGTTTATGAAACCAGTCAGCCTCTGTTCTCCTGTTCTGCCCTCCCTGCAACATGGTAACGTTGGCAGGGAGTGGGTTTATCTCCCCCATTTTACAGATGAGAATACTGAGGCTCAAGAAAGCATGCTGCTTTTTCATACCCAGTCTGTGTGTGACTAGTAGAACTAGGACCCCTGGTCCACTGCTCCCCTGCAACCGCAGCAGGAGATGCTTCTGCTATTGACATGAGTGGCTGAGTAACAGGGAAGAGACCCTCAGGTGTCAGTTGGGCCGGCAAGAGAAGAACTCGGGCGGCAATGCCTGTTCCCGGGGCTGGAGAGGGAATCAAGCTGAGCATCTTCACTTGCCCGGGCCCTTGCCAGTGCTGCGCCTGCCTGCCTGGCCCCGGTCACACCTTGACTTCTGTGCTGCTTTTAACCCAGCTGCCTGCTGCAGCCACGGGTCCCCGGGCTTCGGTGCATGGCTTTTCCCCCATTGCCGCAGAAGCTGAGGGGCGTGCATGCTCCAGCCTTCCCAGCGCAGCTCATAATGCTTTTTTTCTTTTCTTGCAGTCAAGCCATCTCAAAATCCAAACTCAGGTCAGTATCTGCTATTTCTTTCTTTAGCCTGGGTTTGTTTTTTCAGTTATATTATTATGGTGTAAATTCTTACTAGGACATCAAGTTGCTCCAAACTTGAGTTTTGCCCCACGGATCATAACGTTGATGCTGCGTTTTGGTCAGTCCATTGCACCTTACGGACCTGCCGCGGGGGCGCCGGCAGCGGGAACGGCTCGGTCGGATCCACAGGCCACGGGGATGGGCGGTGCTCTTCCTCTCAGCTCACCCCTCAGTCATTTTTCTATGACGGACACTTCTTGTTTCTTGTCACTTGGGGGCTATACTGCAAAGTATAAAACTCAACAACAACAAAAACAAAAATCTCCCCATGGAGGAAAGTTTGAAGAAGTTTTCTAAGGTGTTGGTACTATTCCCTTTCCTGATCTGGTTGCGGGTTACATCTTCATTTTGTAAAGCTAATTAAGCTGTATGTTTATGATGTGTGTACTTTTGCATATAAATATGACTCTTAAAGCCATTTTCCAGTGACGTACAATGCACATTGAACTAAACATTAAACCCAAAACTATAAAAATTCTAGGAGAAAATCTCTATAACTTTGGGTAAAGCAAAGGTTTCTTAAAGTCAAGCTCTTAGTCCACCAATCATAACAGAAAAATTTGCTATATTAGTTCTCATGAAGACTGTAACTTTTATCTTATTATGAAATAAAGAGATAAGCTGCAGACTTAGATAAAAAATATTTGCAAAGCATATTAGATAAAGGACTTCTATCCATAATATACAAGAAATAATGAGTAAAAATAGTGTCCGATACTAAAAAAAAAAGCCAATAGAAAAGGCAACAGAAGATTTAACAAGCATGTCACCAGAGAACAAATATGAATGGTAAATAAGCATATGAAATGGCAGTTAGTTGTTAGGAAAATACAAACAATAAAATCACAGATACTACTACATGATTGTAAGAATGGGTCAAATTTAAATACTTGAAAATACCAAGTTCTGTCACTACGCTGATCAGTGGGCATTTACATGCAATGTTGGTGGTCATTTAAACCTATTTTTTAAAAATGATAAGTTTCTTATAAAGTTTAAGCATGCTTTTGCCATATGATCCCGCAATGACACTTTTATTAAGGTATTTATATAAGAGAAATAAAGACACATGCCTGCGTACATTTTTACATGACTGTTTATAAGTTTTATTTATAATTGCTCCAAATGGAAGATAACCCAAATGTCCATTAATGGTGGGTGGGAAGAGAAATTATGGTTTATCCTATAAGGGAGTACTCCTGGCAACAGGTAGAGCTGATTCGTGTCAGAACACAGATGATGTTCAAAAGTACTTTCAGTAAGTGAAAGAAACCTGTCTCCAAAGGTAATATATCATATGATTCCATTTATCTTGACATGTTGGATGACACAAAACAATGGGAACAGAAAACAGATCAGTGGGCCGGGGAGATAGCTCAGTAGAATAAGTGCTTGCCTGGCAAGCACAAGGTCTTGAGTTTAATCCCCAGTACCGCAAAAAAAAAAAAAAAAGAAAAGAGATTAGTGGCTGTTGGGCTGGGGGTAAGATGGTAGAATTGATTACGAAGGGCTTGGAAGGAACTCTTCTGAGTAATGGAAATGTTTGTGACTGTGTATATGCCCAAAGAGTGAATTTCACTGTATGGGAATTATATTCAAACCTGACTTTTAAAAATTTAAAAGCTGTTCTAGGGCCGGCCAAATAGTTCAGCGGATTAAAGCACCTGCAAGCAGGCCCAGGGGCCGGGGGTTCGATCCCCAGGCCTGCCATGCCAGCCTCGCCCCAGATTGTGCTGAGATGGCAATTGAGCCTGGGTGTGGTGGTGCACGCCTGTAATCCCAGCTCTTGGGATGCTGTAAGCAGGCGGATCACTACGAGTCCGATCTAGTAGTGAGACCCTGGACGCTCTGTAGACCCTTCCCTAAAATACAAAAAAAATAAAGAAAAGAAAAAGAAAAGCTCTTCTGTAGTTCACTCTCACCAGAGAGCGCGGAAGTGCCTTCTTAGTCTGGCCCCTGGATCACCCTCCGATGGATTTCCGGGACCCTCCCTATGTTCCCACCCTGGAGCTACACTGTTCTTGGTTTTCGAGGTGCTGTTCCTCTGCTGCCCCCTTCGCTTGCAGTACTTGCGGCCGTGCATCTCCTCTGGCTGGAATGTCCTTCCACCTGCCTCTGGGGGAGCTCTTACTCATCTAGCCCGAGTCTCAGCTTTGCAGAGAAGCCTTCGGGGACTCTTGAAAGAGCGTGTGTGTGTTCCTTCTGGCTCCTGCACCCTGAATCTTGGTCTAGCACTTGGTGTGGATTTGTGATTATCTTTTACTACAACCCTGTGTGCTTTTTAGTGGCAGAGACGGTGGGACTGTGCCTTCTTCGTTTCCATCTGTAGATCACTGGGCACATGGTGCCCTGGAACCCTGGTCTTCTGCGAGAACAGGCCTGACTGGTTGGGTTCTCAGAACCAAGCGAGGGGCGAGATGTGGCTGCTGTATGTTTCTAGGAGATAGGATGCTGAGGACCCCTCAGTGTAAGAGATGTTCGTGCCTTCGCACTGCAGTACAGGGTAGACTGCTGTATCACACGTGGGGTCTTTTCAGACGACATCACTCTTGTGTACTGAATTAAGCCTCCCATGAGAACCTCAGCTGTGAGCTGGTGGAATCTTAGTGTCCTTGGTAGTTTTTCATGCTGGTCATTGTTTCTGTTGCTCTTTAATTAGAAACTGCACAGCAAGAGCAGTAATAAAATGTACCTTGCTTGATCCAGGTCTTGGTAAGGAGGTAGCCCAACTTTTTCTTTTCACATTTCCTGGGCTTTTTTTTTTTTTTTTTTTTAAAGCGCAGCCATGTAGCTGAATCAGCTAGGGCAGGAGGGCCACAGCTGGGATGCAGCTTGGAACGACAGGTCCCTAAAGAAAGTGCCTGTCCTGGTCCATAGGGCAGCATGGTCCTGAGAAGCTGGCTTCTCCCTGAGATCCAAGTTGCTCAAGCACATTTATCATCCCTTCCCTGTTTTCCACGAAGGGACCAAAGGCAGGAATAGTCTCCCCAATGCCATCAGGAACACAAGGTGGGCGAAGAATACTGCTTGTCTGTTTGGCTCAGCTCATTTTATTTTTATGAAAACATGACTCAATATTGGTTCTTCTCCTAAAGGTGTATTTTGAGGATTCCTAGCTAGAAAGGGCACCTGATGACTCAGTCTGAAGTCTCATGTCCTACTCAGCTCTGACAACTGCCAGGCTCCAGAGAAACTTCAGAGATTAAAGGAAAGATTGGAAGGTTCCCTAAAAAGAAAACAATGATTTTGGAGCACTTTGCTGCTCAGTAAATTCTATATGATGATTGAGATGCTGGGGGAGGGCAGAGTATGTACATACTAAGCCCTACACCGATGCCAGAGCAGACCATGTGCCATGTGGTGGTGCGTGAACTGTGTACGTGTGCGGGAACAGCTGCACATCGGCACAAGGGTCTGCGGATACCTGTATCTTCTAACCCACTTGAAGACAGTGTATGACAGATTCTGGAGTTTTTTATAGCCGTGGGAAGAAAATTGAGCATGATCAAGTCAATTTTATTTAGTCTTTTTGAAACAGAATTGCACTATACAGTTTAGGCTGGCCTTGAACTTACATTGTAGCCCATGCTGGTCTTGAACCCTCATCCTCCTGCCTCAGCCTCCCAAGTGCTGCGATTCCAGGCGTGCGCCACTAGGCGCGACATCTCAAGTTAATAGTATACTTTTAAAAAGCTGTGTGTTAAGACCAACGTAATTTATATCTTGAAGTCTGTTCATCGCTGTGCTGTTTGTTCACATCGTTCCTTCCTGACCCACCCCAACCTGTTCCTCCAGAGGGAAGGGCCAGTTATTTCTTAATAAAGTTTGTTGGACTTTCAGCTCAAGGGACTTACGTTTGCTTACCTTGCAGCCGACGCTGGCGTCGCTGGAACCGATTCAGCCGTAGGAGATGCAGGGCTGCTGTGAAGTCGGTCACGTTTTACTGGCTGGTTATTGTCCTGGTGTTCCTCAACACATTAACCATTTCCTCTGAGCACTACAATCAGCCCGACTGGTTGACGCAGATTCAAGGTAGGAGCCAAAGCCTTTCATTCCCTGCTAGAGAGTCCTGTGGCAAGCTGCTCTTTAGTATAACTTGAGGTGTGTAGAGGGGAGAATCAGAAGGTTGTGAGCAGGGACTACCTGGAAGGTGGTGGAGCCGTCCACACTCAGGTGAGCCCTGGAGCAGGGCTCTGTGGTAAACAAATGCCAAGAATCTTACTGCCCTGACCCTGAGACATCGTAAGGTTGCCGAGTCTTACAAGGACCACCTCCCTACCCACTGGAAGCTCTGTCTTCCCTTTCATTTTGGTTCCTTTGCTTTGATGGCTCAGAAATGTGATGTGGGGAGTTGTCCCCAGAGATAGCTCGTTTTGGGTTTGACAGTTTCGAGCTCCTGGGAAGTCTTTTTCTTACATGTGTTTTCTTTACCTCTTGAGCCTACTGGTATTTTTTGCCTGCTATTAAAAATAACATCAAATAGGACTGGCCAGTTAGGTCAGCAGACTAAAGCGCCTGCTTAGGCAGGCACAGGGACCAGGGTTCAATCCCAGGCACCACATGCCAGGCTGGCCCCACCCCAGGGTGTTCTAAGATGCCTGGACATGGTGGCACAGGCCTGTAATCCCAGCACTTGGGAGGCTGAAAACAGGAGGATCACTACGACTCCAATCTGTATAGTGAGACCCTGTAGACCCTGTATTAAGCAAATAAATAACATTGATAAGTGACCATATGCTCGTGTACTAAGCAGACCAGGAAGGGGTGTGTGTGTGTGTGTGTGTGTGTGTGTGTGTGTGTGTGTTGTGTGAATGATTGAAAGAAAAATATGTATATAATATGATGATCTGAGCATAGAGTTAGAGGTTTTTAGTGTTAGGAATCTCCCAAGATTGCATGATAAAATACCCATTTTACAGCCAATGAAACTGAGCTCAGGGAAATCAAATAACTGCACTAGATTTACACAACGAGGTAGTGGCAGTATGAGAGCCAGGACCTGACAGAGAAACAGACCATTCGCGTCAGTGCCCTATTTCTGTCATGGACGCGGTGGTGAAGAAAGGGACAGGCCATTGAGTATTTCCTGTGGGGACAGGTGGGACAGAAATGCCAAAAGAAAAGAGCAGCTGAGCACCCTGCACCGAGATCCTCAGGGCGGGCGCCCTTCTCTTCCAGATATTGCCAACAAAGTCCTCCTGGCCCTGTTCACCTGTGAGATGCTGATAAAAATGTACAGCTTGGGTCTCCAGGCGTATTTCGTGTCCCTTTTCAATCGGTTTGACTGCTTTGTGGTATGCGGCGGGATCACCGAGACCATTTTAGTGGAACTGGAGATCATGTCTCCGCTGGGCATTTCTGTGTTCCGCTGTGTACGCCTCTTGCGAATCTTCAAAGTGACCAGGTAAGGGGGGCGCGAGCCTGCCACAGGCGTGCTGGGGCAGGAGGTCCTGCGGCCTGCACGGGGGCTCTGGACCCACCCCATCCTCTTGACTTGCAGGCACTGGGCTTCTCTGAGCAACTTGGTGGCGTCCTTGTTAAACTCCATGAAGTCTATTGCTTCCCTCCTGCTTTTGCTTTTTCTCTTCATTATCATCTTTTCCTTGCTTGGGATGCAGCTGTTTGGTGGCAAGTTTAATTTCGATGAGACACAAACCAAGCGAAGTACCTTCGACAACTTTCCTCAAGCACTCCTGACGGTGTTCCAGGTGAGTCCTTTCCCGCTCAGGAGCGTGTGCTCTGGGGGGCAGCTGAGCGCCCCGCCTTCTCCACATACAGCTCAGGAAGACAGACAGGATGATTTCATTTTTGTTAATAATCTCTGCTTCGTCATACTTTGGTAAATCTTGCATTGTGTAAGTTAATTTGTCTTGCATCCTCCTAGCTGTGTAATGTGACTTAATTTTTAAGAGCACTAGCTTTATTAAAAAATAGTAGACCAAAAAGTTTTGATTTTGTAAAGCTTCTATGAAATAGATTCTAAAATCCTTTTTTTTTTTTTTTTTTTTTGTATTTAGGACAGGGTGTACAGGGTCTCACTGCATAGATCAGACTGGTAGTGATCCTCCTGTTTACAGCCTCCCAAGTGCTCAGATTACAGGCTCGCACCTCCATGCTCAGTCTCAATCACTGGCTCAGCCTGCCATGGGGGTGGGTCCAGCATGGCAGGCTCGGAATCCAACTCCCAGCCCCTGTGTCTGCCTAAGCAGACGTTTTAATCCACTGAACTATTTGGCTGGCCCTCTAAAATCCTGTAAAACCCTCTTGATCTTTCCTTTTTTTTTTTTTTTTGTCTTTCTGAGACAGGATCTCATTGTGCAGTTCAGGCTGCCTTGAGCTCACTTTGTACCCCACACTAGTCTCAAACTTGCAACAATCCTCCTGCCTCTCTCTCCTAGTGCTGGGATTATAAGTGTGCACAACGACACCCGGCACTAATTTTTTTTTTTTTAATAACAGTTGACAATTCTAGTCGTGATAGATTTATGCAAAGACATGAATTGGAGAGCTGGGATGTTTCTGGGTGTACTCAATGGGGTCGAGTGGGAAGAGGTGTCCCAGCCCTCTGCCTGGGGTGTCCTCCTGCTCAAGGTGGTGAGGACGCACAGACTCAAGGCAGCTGCTCTGTTGGGGCCCCTGTGGGTGCTGAACTGGGAGGCACCAGGCGTTCAGATGGCTCCTTCTGGGGCTCCGAGAGCAGCTCACTCTCCATCTTTTGATTCTGAGCTGCGCAGGCTTTGCATGTGTAAGGGCAGGGAATGCCTGAGCCCTGCTGCAGAGGTGGGGTGTGGTGGAAGGGACAGGGGACCTGTGGATCCTGTGGGGGCTCTTTCTGTGCCCATTTCCATCACCTTAGATGAGCCACTTGCCCTTTTCTGAAGAAACTGACTAGAAGAGAGGATCCGTAAGCGTCTTTCTTTTGTGGTCACTTGAAGTGGTTAGAATTACTGCTGTAGACCCTGGCTTTGTTTTTGGATTATGCTTAAAATTTGGTTCCCAGTCAGTCATTTGTTTTTCTGATTTATTTCAGAAATGTGTTTCTTTTTGCCCCTCCCTTTTTATAATGCATATATATGGCACAAGATGTAAGGGTCAGCGAAAGAATATGAACCTTCTCTGGAGGTGGGCATACATGTATGTGAAGTCCTAGAGCGATACACGATGGTGCTGTGCTCTCTACAGAGGGGACAAAAACCGGGCTAGGGTGTAGTAAAAGAATGCCTAAGGCTCCTGTGTGAAGATGTTTTTTTCCACTAGAAAAATCAACTCATCTATTTATGTAATTTAAAATAATGTTTTGAAAATTCTGTAGGGTAGCAGCGGATTTATTTATTTAGCCCAAGCTGGGCTGTGAGGGGTAACCTAAACCAGGCCTAGGTAGCCACTGAGGGGCTGCGGCAGAGCAGCGTGAGTTGTGCGCCTGCCCGCTGTCTGACAGCAGCTCTGGCCTCTTAGATCCTGACAGGTGAAGACTGGAACGCTGTGATGTACGATGGCATCATGGCATATGGAGGCCCGTCCTCTTCAGGGATGATCGTCTGCATCTACTTCATCATTCTCTTCATTTGTGGTAACTGTATCCTTCAGAACAACCAGGATTTTGCTATTGGTGTCGTTGCCTTGGCTTTCCCCGCTGATCTCCCCTGTGGTCATGGTGATGGTAGCTGTGGTGGGACAGGAGCATCTTTCCCTCAAGAGCTCAGTGTGTGTTTCCCTTCCATGGGGCTGCGCTATGTGCAGCATAGCAGAAGCCTAGACCCAGCAGGGCTTTGGGAGATTCAAACTGGCAGTGGGAGACGACATGTGCAGGCCAGGTATTCCATTCGGTGCCACATCTCCTATATAAGGAGGACAGATGGTCCATGGAATGCCTTAGGGCAAAGCCAGGGGATCCTTGGAAGGTCGAGACTGCCTCTCTGTCATCTAACGACACTTGATGGCCAGTAAGGAGATGTCTTCAATGGACTGATGTACAGCCCGCTGAAGCTAATCTTCCTTTGCTGACTCGTTCATCCTTGGGTCCCAAGCACCTGCCATCTAACTTCTGTGTCATGCTCTGTAACTTTTCTCTAACTTATATTCTTCTTCCCTACTGAGGGCACTCTTTAATTCCAGACCTCTGCACTTGGCCTTCGGGTCTGTTTATTTACCTTGATTAGATTTTTCATGATCCTGTAATCTTTGGTTTTATTTATCTTATCTCTAGGACCTAGAATGCAGGTCTTCCATTCCTAGCACAAGATTTGCTATACAGAGTTCCTTAATAAGGGCTGGGGAGATAGCTCAGTGACATAAGCACCTGCCTGGCAAGGGCAAGGTCCTGAGTTCAATCCCCAGTGCCAAAAAAAAAAAGAGAGAGAGAGAGAGAGAGATCCTTAATAACTGTGGTGAATGAATAGTTCTTGAAACATATGAATACTCTCTCTTTTTACCTTTCCCATTTAAAGAGTCCTAATCTGGATTCTTCTCCTAAAGAGTCTCAGATTCTTGTAGCTATTTTCCCTATAATCTTCTTTGATGGATTTTCTTGAGTATGGAAAGCCTAGTACAAAGGTGTTCTATTGTCTCCAAGATCGATGTCTTACGCCCTGAGATTTCTATGAAAACCCACATCTTGGCAAGTATGGATTCTGCTAATACCTTGACTGGATTCTAGTTGAGTCAATTCCAATTCCGTGGGAAGCCACCTCTTCCATCTCATGCCTCTGAGCTTCACCAGGCTTTTCTCCCATCACCAGCTGCCCTCCATCTCCAGCACTAGATGAGTGCTGCTTGAGTCATGACCTTCCTTGTCATGGTCATATTTCTTAGTATGGGACAGGGCCCTGCACACAGTTGGATTTTGGTGAGTGTTTGTTAACTAAATGGTCAAGATTTTCTTTTCCTGCTCTACTCCTGATTAACCCTTCAGGCTGCAAACTTGAGTCTGAAGAGAAGTATTCCCTGGCTACTTATCTCTAGCTCCACATTGAATTTGTTTGTAGTGCTTGTCACTCTTTGAGATGCTTGAAGAGTTGTTTGTACTCTTTGTCCCCATTCTGGAAATAGAAGCCCCATTCTGTCATGTTTCCTTCCATGGCCTGTGTACCTAGAGCAGGGCCTGGCACATCAGAGCTGCTTCGTAGATCTTTTCTAGTGGATTCCAGACCACCTAGAGATTGAGGATGATCTGGACAGTGCCCCTGAAGGCACAGGATGGGATCCTGCTCTCAGAATCTATCTCTTGCAAGCTTATAAGACTTATCTCTGGTTTATTAGTCCATGATTTCTTTCCACGCCCAAAAGGAGTTTAGTGTCATTGTAAGGCTCATGTGGTGGTTATTTCTTTACTGAGGGGTATGCTTGGCACAGCTATTCTTATCCCTGACTCTGGCCTAAGCCACCATTACCCCATGCCCAACAGAAGAGTACTAAAGAGTGACCAAACCCAGCCCAGGGCAAGTTGCTTCCTTCAGCTCAACTCATTGGAGATCCAGTTAAACATTACCACAGCGTACCAAAGGCATTTCGAAAGTCTTCATGTCATTTACTCAGGTTTCTGTGCTCCTTAAAGTCTTGAATAGAATTAGTCAAGAGTAATGTCCCCCCTCCCCACAGAGCTCACCCTCACTCTCTTGTTAGGTTATGTTGGTCTGTCTGTTTAGCATCCCAGCAGAGATTTCGTACTGCTTGGGCTCTTCGCAGCACTTGTCTCTGGAATTCTGGGCTGCCATGATTTTTGCTTGTCTAGCAGAGAAAAGATTCATCGGGGCATGAGGTTTTCCCAGTTCTTTTCCTCTGATCCCTGTGTATTTTAAAATTTTTCTTAGCGGCTGTTGCATAAGGAACAATCATCTCTGGTTTGAGAACCTTGCCCAGAATACTTTAAATTTTTTTTTAAAAAAATCATATGTCATAGTGATGATCAAAGAAACCTGAAAACGTGTTCACTTAGCCCGTCACTATTTGTAAAAATAATTTCAGCCGTAATAATGGAAGATCTAGCCACAGCGGGATTATTCAGAAGATAGCGCCGTCTCACAGGAGTTCTCTTCAGTGGATGTTTGTAAAGACATGAATGAGTTCTTTACAGACTTGGAAGGCCATTTAGGAAGAGAAAGTCTCTTACTGTCTTATGTGACAGGATCATCATTTGAATAATGTGTGGCCTTTGAGGAAGTCTGGCTTGAAAAGCACTCCCCTGAATACGTATGTCGTGCTGTGTGTCTTAAAAGAAGCAAAGTAGACACAGGGTGCTTTTTAATTGTATCATGTGTGTGTTATAGGTTACTTTATACAGTGTCTGTCAGCTGTAGATTTATAGAGATGGATGGAAACACATTGGCAAAGAAATTGTGAAGTTGATAGGTTTTCTGTGACCCTTAATCTTCCCCCTTTTCAGATTTACACAGATTTCTAGGTGCAGTGTTGTGTTGTGTTTCAAAGCAGGGATTTAATCTTCTAGTTTTACCAAGCAAGTGTAACGCCAAGGACACTCGCCTCCCACCAGCCTCCCGGAACACAGAGGGGTGTGACATTTCCATTGTGATCGTCTGAACTCACAGTTACAGAGGTGTTGCTCCCTTAAAGTTTTTAAACTAGATATCCTACTAAATGTCTTCTTGGCCATTGCTGTTGACAACTTGGCTGATGCTGAAAGTTTGAACACTGCCCAAAAAGAGGAAGCTGAAGAAAAAGAGAGGAAAAAGATTGCCAGGTAACCTTATTTCACCTGCAGTGTTTTCCCAGGGGTGCAGACAGAGCCCAGCTGCCTGGGAGACCTGGTGGTCTCCAGAGGGCTTCTCAGGACTGCAGTCTCGTGTTGCTGCTTTGCAGTGATTGTGGGGGACCACGTGGTACAGACCAAAGGGGAAGGGATCTTGGGCCGAAGCCAGGCCCTTGGCTCTCAGCCCCATACCCGAGAATGGGAGAGACACGTCCTCGTGCTTAACGAATCACTGCAGTTAATTTTGGTGTCATAAAATAAATGATGCATTCAATGCTGATTAGCTCTGGGATGAGAATTTTAATAAGACGATCTGTGTAATGAAGACTGCATTGCATTAGATGAACAGGAAGTTCTGAGTGTGGCTTGTGCTGCGCTCTTGCTGTTGGTGCTGTTTCCAATTAAATTCTGTCCTGCGTTGGGGCTCTGCTGATTCAGAATCAGATCAGCACTTTTACGCGTAGCTATATGGTGACTTGGTTTTTCTATTTTCTCTTCTCTGTAGAAAAGAGAGCCTAGAAAATAAAAAGAACAACAAACCAGAGGTCAACCAAATAGCCAACAGTGACAACAAGGTATCTCTTCTAAAATAACTTATGTGTTTCAGAGTGATTCTGTTGGTGTCTCCATAGATATACCACTTATGTCGTGGAAGTGACTTGTTCCTAATATTTTAGTAGAGAAAGCAGAGCATGTCATATAGATACTGGCTTCCTGGGGGAGATTCTAATTGAATTTCATACAGCGAGCTGGCTGTTAACCATCATCTTACCAGAGAGCCAAGATGATAAATATTTGACCAGTTTACCCATTTAATTTTATTTTGCTGGAATTGTGTGGTCAGACCTGACCTGTGGTCAAGATCATATTATCATCTTCTGAGTGGTATTAAAAATCAAAATTTTTTGTAGATGTCTGTTCCAGAGGTAACCCCAGGATCAAGTGGCCCGGGAAGCCTCAGGGTACCCTGTCAAGCTCTGTCTCTATCACTGTCTTGTCGCTGAAGACACAATCCCTGCACCCACAACTTAAAGGAACAGAGTTTATTTTGGCTCATGGTCCCAGACCCCTCAGTCTGATACAGCCCAGAAGCAAAGAGAGCAGGGAGGAGCCAGGGAGTAAGTGACGCCCTACTGGGCAGGACTCCAGTGAGCCGCCTCTTCTGACCAGCTCCACCTCCTCACAGGGTACTCAGCTACTAAACTCATTCATGGCTGAACCTACTGATGAGTAAAGCGCCCCAGGAGCCAATCACCTTCTAGAAGTCCTGCCTCTCAACATCCTGGTCTAGCGTAGAGGCAGTGAACCTACAGCTTGCATGCCACACGGGGCTACCTGTATCATTCAGGCCTCTAAACTATTGTCCGTCACTGCTCTAGGGGGATGTGCTAGGTCTAAATTATGACAGACTCCATCCCACTTAGGGTGGTGTTACATTCGTTTCTTTCGCCGTTGAGTTAATACAGACTTGAGTGGTGATCCCGTGTCAGAACCTGGGATGTTAGGAATGAAGATCAATGTGGCCCCTTCCTCCGTGGAGTTCACAGTGTAGTAGGAAGGCGAGAATCTTCACGCGGTTATCGTGTAGTGTGTGCCACTGCCCTGGGACAGCAAGAGAGCAGAGCAGTGGACTGTGCCTGTATAACTGTGTCTGTGTTGTATCTCCTGTTGCCCTTGGGCCTTCGGTCTTAAGCAGAGCCACCATCTGCCTGTGCCTGTGTGCCCGTGCGCGCGCACACACACACACACACACACACACCCACCCCTCTCTAAAGTTCACATAAGTCAGCCGCTCCCCCCTCCAAAGCTGTCTCTCTTGCTCTAGGTTACAATTGATGATTATCGAGAGGAGGAGGAAGATAAGGACCCTTATCCACC